TTTTTTTTGAATGCTACTGGCTCTATTACATTGTAGTATCTGTTCATATACTTTCTCAACCTACTAAAACACAAAGAACCAATAACGCCTCCACTGAGTCTTGTTTGACTTTGTATGAGATCAAATGTTTTTCTAAAGTATATTCTATAGTACTTTACATGGTTGAGTGTGGTTATACTTAGCTTCGTGCTAACAGGTGTTTTTCCTATTTGTCTATGTGTTGTTTGTAAAACCCCTTTCAGGTGGGCCCAGCATATGAGAGATGATCGAGTTAGACTAGTCTAGTAGATCTAGTAGTCTAAACTCTCTTTATTAATATGTTGATCTTTTGACGGAATTGTAGACTTTAATGTTTATGTTTGGTGTTAGAACTTATGTTTTGATGCTCCAGTTTGATGACTAGACATCGGGGTGTGTTTCCTCTTATGACTTTTAATGAAGTAGTTCGAATGTTAGTTTGATTTATTGTTTTAGTACATCCTTAGCCTGTGCAATCACCATGGAGTGGTGGTTGTGGCGGTGACATTCCCACTAGTTTACTTATTAAGTCGTTTATCCACTGCTTAGTTTGTATTTATTATGGGTTTAGAATTGTAATTAAGATTAAGAAAAGTGGGGTGTTACAAAGGAGCCGAAGCTCGGCCATCGGGAAAACGAGCTCGGCCACCATGAGAATGAGGAGCCCGAGCTCAGCCTCCACGACTACGAAAAGCCCGAGCTTGGCCACCAACAGACCATGGAGCCCAAGCTTGGCCACCGAGAACACGAGCTCGGCCACCATGAGAAAGAGGAGCCCGAGCTCAGCCGCCACGACTACGAAGAGACCGAGCTTGGCTACCGAGACACCAAGGAGCCCAAGCTCGGCCACCAAGAAACCAAGGAGCCCGAGCTCGGCCACCAAGAAACCAAGGAGCCTGAGCTCGGCCACCAAGAGATCAAGGAGCCCGAGCTCGGAAAGCAAGAGCACCAGAAGCCAAGCTCGGCTGCTATGAGCAAGGAGAGTTAGAGCTTGGTCACTAAAAGGAGGAGGAGTCCGAGCTCAGCCTCCATGAGCATGAGGAGCCCGAGTTCGGCCACTAAGAGCACATGGAGCTCGAGCCCGACCACCATGGGCACGAAGAATCAGAGTAGTAGCAAAGTCCAGGCTCGTCGTAAAAAAGGATTCATTCATAGCCGAGGTCGGCACGAGTTAGTTTATACATATGAGCACCGTGAAGCTAAACCTCAATTAGTGCTGAATGAATAATTGGGAAGGTCCATATGTGGTAGCAATTGTGGTCCGTCCTGGCAGCTACAAGCTCAAATCCCCAAAGAAGAAATGCGTATGACGATTTTGGAACTCTGAGCGCTTGCTCAAATTATTTTTTTTTCAGCAATTCATCCTGTAAGGTGGTCCGACCCCTTAAAGTTCATTCTCGTAATAAAAGTAGCAAAATTCGTCGAGCACTCATTTTACTGCTATTTGAGGAGGGGAGAGGGGAGCGATAGGACTCGAGCGAAGTCCGCCGCCCGACCTTGCAAGGGTCCATCTGACCTTGCAAGGGTCCATCCGACCTTGCAAGGGTCCATCAGAACTTGCAATAGTCTACCCTCCATGGGCCCATCAGACCTTGCAAGGGTCTATGGCAAGCATCCATCATACCTCCAAGGGTTCATCCGACCTTGCAAGGGTCTAAGGCAAGCGCCAATCATACCACCAAGGGTCCATCCGACCTTGTAGGGGTCTATAAGACCTTGCAAGGGTCCACCCTCCAAGGGTCCATCCAACCTGGCAAAGAATGTTCGACCAAATAGTCCATCCAACTTCTGGTCCAAAGTCGAGAGACTTCGACCCACAACCCTAGGGGCGATATGTGGTCTGACCTCGCCTATCACCGAATGGAAGAGCTTTTGCGTCAAAAGTGGAAGGACTTCGACCTAAAACTGCTAAAAGCCCTAGGGGCGATACGAGTTCCAACCTTGCCTATTGCCGAAGGGAAGAGCTTTTGGGTCCAAAGTCGATAGACTTCGACCTGAAACCGCTAAAAGCCCTAGGGGAGATACGGGGTCTAACCTCGCCTATCACCGAACGGAAGAGCTTTTGGGTCCAAAATTGAAAGACTTCGACCTGACACCGCTAAAAGCCATATGGCCAATACGAGGTCTGATCTCGCCTATTGCCGAACGGAAGAGCTTTTGGGTTTAAAGTCGAAAGACTTCGATCTGAAACCGCTAAAAGCCCTAGGAGTGATACGCGGTCCGACCTCGCCTATCGCCAAACGGAAGAGATTTTGGGTCCAAAGTCGAAAGACTTCGACCTAAAACCGCTAAAAGTCCTAGGTGCGATACGGGGTCCAACCTTGCATATCGTCGAACGGAAGAGTTTTTGGGTCAAAACTCGAATGACTTCAACCTGAAACCGTTGTACCCTAGGGGCAATATGGGGTCCGACCTCGCCTATCACCGAACGGAAGAGCTACGGGTCCAAGGCACAAGTACTTTGACCCAATGGCTAAGCACGTCAAACAAAGCAAAAAAAAAAAAAAACAAAACAAAAAAAAAACAAAAAAAAAAGAAAAAAAAAACACTCCAAGAGGTCGGCCGAGCTTGGCTGACCTCCCAGGCGTATATCTGACTTCCTTAGGTCAATGCTAGGTCCAGCTTAGAGCTTAGTCCGACCCCCTTGGATCCAAAGCTAAATCGACCACAAGCATCCGAAACCGGGTAAGGTCTGACCTCCCTAGTTAAGCTGATTTTGTGCTCATCCCAAGGAGCTCAAGTTAAAGGGCTCATCCAAAGCGGGTCTAAGTCTTTGAGTTTGAGGTTGGACCTCAAGCCTTAGAGCTTGCCTAGAGCGGAACTCAAGCATTTGCGCTTGTTGAGGGTAGACCTCAAGCCTTGGAGGTCATCCGGAGTGGTATCCAACTCTTTGCGTTTGTGAGGTTGGACCTCAAGCCTTAGAGGTCATCCGAAGAGAGAGCAACGCCCAAGCCCTCACATTTGTTGAGGTTGGAGGTCGAACTTCAAGCCTTATGTCATCTGAAGTGAGGCTCAAATCTTAGCGTCCGTTCGAGGTTGGACCTCAAGCCTTAGAGCTCATTCCAAAGAAACTCATCTCAAATAGCTCGAGGCAAAGAGCTCATCTCAGGGAGCTCAAGTCGACGGGCTCATCTCAAGGTGCTCAAGTTTAGGAGCCCAAGTTGAAGAGCTCACTAAGGGGCTCAGGTTGAGGAAGTCAAGTTAAAGAGCTCGACGCATAGAGCTTGGGTTTGGAGCAAGAGCTCAAGTCCATGCACCAGTGGAGGTTTGGACCTCAAGCTTGGGAGTCTAACCCGATAAGGTATGGAGCTCAGATCCTTGCACTTGTTAGAGGTCGGACCCCAAACGTTGGTGCTCACTCACGCAGTGCAAAGAGAATTAAGCACAAACTGTTGAAAGAAATATACATATACGCGTGTGACTTCGATGCTGTGATTGGGAGGAAGAAGCGTCGTGTTGTCCAAGGTCATAGAGTAGGAGTACTCTGACTTCTCGCAGCTCAGAGAGTGGGGGACTGATGATAGAATAATTACCGAGCGGATCCAGATCAAAGTAATATGGAGCGAATCAGACCCAGGACCCGATATAACTACGAACGCGACTGGGCAGACCATGGAGGGGTCTGCCACCCCGGGGTCCTCGGCCACTGCCACCCTGTGACACCCCGTATTTTCCTAAAAATAAATTATTGTCCCGATAGTAAATATTTTTCTTAAAAATATTCATATAGCTAATTAATTTAGAATGGGCTTGGGTCTAACTATTTTTGTGAACCAATATTTCTGTGCAAAATATTCCAAACCCAAAATGATTTTATTCTTAAAAAGCCTAATAATGACCTTTGATCCAAAAGAGTTACCCAACCTAAGTTTAGCCAAGCCCATGAGTATTTGTAAATATATACGTGTGATCATCTTTGTGTGCCGAAGATATATGTATATATCATAGATGGTTCTTGACCCAAAAAGGCTTCCCTAACCCAATCAAGTTAGCCCAACCCAATCATTGTTTAACCATACCATTCTAGTGTGTATGTGTGTATTGTATCATTTCCAATTTCCATCTTCAGCGGCCAAACTTCTCCCTCACGTTCCCTATGCCTCCGCCTCTCTCTATCTGCTTCGTCTCGACCAAGAGACTCCGGAGTAAGCTACCACGAACCTCTTTTCCTTCATCTTCCAATAAGCTTCGAACCAACGACGGCAATGGAGGTGATCAGCGTCCTAAGCTCCTTCCGGCGTGGTGAGGCAGTGTTGTTGTTCCTTTCCAGCAGCAACGGTGAAGCACCGTGCGGTTCCAGCGACCTTCATCCTCGAGCTCGTCGTCGGAAAGGCAACGACAGCGTCTCCCTGTTCTCTGACGTGAAGCCCTTCAGACCAGCAAACTCCGGCGAGGAAGATCAAGCAGCGGGCAGGCCCACGGGTGGTAAATCTCCTGATCAACCACCCGCTGCCACCTTCTTCATGTAGCAACGGTGGTGGGAATTTTTCCTGCAAGGCAGCACTGATGGCGGTGGGAGTCTCTCCGATGGCGTCTCTGATGGTGGGAGGCTGCGTTAGTGGATGGTGGTTGGCATCGGTTTTGGCTCGGCTTCATGGCAGATCGAGGAAGGAGGTGAGGTGTTGTCTTGGCTTATGTTGGTTAAGTAGTGTTAAATAGATTTTATGTTAATTAGGTTACCATGTGGCTGATTAGCTTAGTTGGTTAAGTTTGTGCTTAGTGTTGGGTTTGGCTAGGGTTTGATTATTAATAGGCTTAAGTGATTAGTTTTTAGTTATTAGTTCTATCTTATAAGCTTGGTTGTTATGGGCTTAATTATTAGTGTATTAATGTTGTGACTAAGTTATCAAGGAAGTGCTTAGGTTAGTTGGTAAGAGGTGTGGCTAATCCTAAGATAAACTAGGGTTAAAATCCCCTTTACAAGTTTAATTAGTTTTAACTAGTACTTGTGTTAATAGTTGAGATCCGGTTTAATTCTCAAGTTCCCGTTTGGCTTATGAGTTGAGCCTAGCCTATGTTCGCGTTGTTTTTGGTTGGATAAGCGAATGAGGTAACCCATGCTCTACAAAATCTATTTTTCTCACCAATTTGATGATTCTTGGATTCTACATGTGATTTTGCTATGAAATGTGAGTGTTTATGATTTGTCTTGTGAAAATGCATATCTAGAGCTTGTTATTAGGGTTCTTGTATGCCATTGCTTGGCTATTCCTTTGATTCAAGTCATTTTGTTGTATTTGGTGAGATTTGGCATGTCTTGGACTTGAATTTGAGCTTGGTGTTGAAAATCCCCGAAGGGATGTTTTGGTACAGGGTAGTGTACCCGCAGGCGGAACAGCGGGTAGGCGTCTACCCGCCGCCCCACCCGCGGGGTACAGGTGACTCGTGGGAAAGGGTTCCCGCGGGTGGAACCACGGGTGGTGGTCCACCCGTGGCCCCACCCGCGGGGAACATGATGGTGTTATTTGGGGATTTGTTCCCCGTGATTCTTTTGACTCGGTATTTGGTCTTTTGACTTCCCGATGTTCTTTTATGGAACTATTTGAGTGTCTTCTTGATGTTTCGTATGTCTAGAACTATATGGTAGGAATCCATGTAGGCTTTGGTGTCTTGAATCGTGCAAAGTGTTCAACATTGTGTGTTCTTCGGAACTACGTTTGGTTTACCCATTTGATAAGCATGCTAGTTCGGTGTTTAAATGCTAGCGTGTGTGTTGTTTGTCCGTTCCTAATGTTGATGATGACTTGTGTTAATCATCGTTATTGTTGGACTGTGATCCATTCCTTGATTGAGTATGGTTTCATATCTTCGTTGTGATCCGTTGATTGATTCCTATTGTAGTGTGGTGTGTGTGGCTGTACCTGGATTGCACGATTAATGGTATGGGACATTAGTCACCAAGGTACGGCAGTGGTCCTCGTGGTGGCCATGACGCGATTATGGAGTTTGTGACCTTTGTGTAAGGTTCACGTATTTCTTGGGTGGCATGTGTTGCCGTGTGTGTGATCGGTACCCTCGTGTACTATGAAATCGGTGGTTTTGTTGGAGATCTGTTGGAGAGGGGACGACGGTCCTCGGAGGAATAAGGTTGGACTTGGCGTACAGGGGTCCTGGAGGTAATGGTTGGAACTAGACATAAGGTTGGGGGTAGCCATAAGGTTGGAACCGGGCATAAGGAAGGCATATCAATTCGTGATGGGTGATGTCACGAAGGCTTGTGTAGCTGTTGTTGTGTATCTCTCTATTTGTGACGTGTGTTGTCACAAAGGCAATGTGTTGCCAATGGTTGTGTCATTTCTCTTGTGTTATACATATCGGGTGTTAATCTACTGTGTGATGGTAGATTATACCTTGAGCCGTTCTTGTGAGTCATTAATGTTTCTTGTGGTTTTGGGATGTGTTCCCTTATCTTTATTGTGAGTGCATAGAGTCTTGTGTTGATCTCTATCTTGGATTTTGAAATTGATATATACTATATCCCGTTTCGCAAATGATTTTGTATATATATCCTATATATGTATGATACTTAACAGGTATTGGCAAGTTACCAGCATTATTCGCTGACCTCCCATTTCTTATTGTTGCTTTACAAGTTGGGTAGCTTTGGAGAGCGCGCTAGTGGCCTGTAGATAGATTATATCTCTTCCTTTAATAGTTGTTGAGGCCTGTGAGCCTAAGTAGTTGATTTGTTAGACTATTGTAGTTGTAGTATCTACCTGTGCACCTATGTTTGATATAGGTGTGGCATAGCACCTTCCGGTTTATTTAGTTAGCTTCCGCCTTGTTTAATCTTAATGAGTAGACTTTATCCCTTTTCTAAGCTTTAATTGATTTTAAAAGTTGTTGAAAATCGGGGGTGTTACAGTTGGTATCAAAGCCTAGGTTTGAGCCTAGGATGTTAAGAGTTGGACTTTAACGACCTAAGTTGTGCTTAGGTTAGTGTTTGTAAGTTGAGACCTTTAGATATTTAGTGAATCCTCTAAGTGTTTAAGTACCTAAGTTTAGGATTCTTAGGACGCGCTGTGAGGTTGGGTGTTACCTTTTGTTATCTGTGTAGTTCTTTTATGTTGTTCTGTTGTTAGCTCTAGTAGTTGTAGCTGTTGTTCTCGGTTGGTGTGAACCTTTTCAGTAAGTCGTCTCGTTTTGGGTTCGTTGAAGACCTACCAAAGTCTGCGGCTAAAGAGTAAGAAGACCGAAGATCTGCTGACACAAGATAGTCAAGTCGTGATGGTTGCAGCTGAGCACGTGGTCAACGCAAAGAAGATGGACTGCTCTACTCGCAGCCTGGAGTGAACTACATCAAATCTCGTTCAAGCAAGTGTCATCGTCTCTCGTACGACATCGTCATCAGTTCTACGCTAATCCTAGAAGTTGAAGATTATCTTTCATGCAACCGAAGTTCGATAAGAAGCAAGACGTTGTTTGGAGTTCGAAGATCAAGTTTAGAAGACCCTCACTCGCGAGGGGAAGTCAAGGGCGGTCGCAGACGCTCCAAGAAGATGTCAACATACGCCAAGTGGCCGCCTTCGGATCAACCTGTTTGAAGCCTCCCAGAGTTAAAGAGCTATAAGTCAATCTTGGACCTTTCCAAAGCACGAAGAGTCGAAGTGTAAGATCGAAGTGTTCAACATAGAAGTAGCACTACCTACCTATGGAGAAACCAAGATTGGGAAACTTCTAAGGAACGAACTTGGAAGTAATAAAAATCAAGATGGCCATACATTAAAAGCTTGGACCTCTAAGGTACATGGAAGAGAAGAGCATCGCTGTTGGCAAGTCGTCCGACCCTGTGAAGCATGAAGAGGTTAAGAAGTAGTTAGGGAATGAGAGTAACGTTTATCCTTTTCGACATACCTGGAAAGTTATGTCTAGAATGAAGACTTTTGGTAAGAAGATTTGGCAGCAAGAAGAAATGAAGCCGTAACCGAGTTGCAAACAATCGTGGGGCCATCAGAAGACTAAAACTGACAAGAGCAAAGCAAAGACGGATTTGATCACCGAGTGTTCCTAAGTTGCAAGTGGGACTCTGTGCCGATGATTCCTGGTAAGAGATCTACCTAAAACCAAGAAGGAACGAGAAGTAGCCAATCTTGCATGGGAAGATTGAACAGTAAAAGGAAAGACAGACAGGAATGAGCTTAGGGGCCAGTTCTATGGTTAGATCTCCATAAGAAAGACAGGTTCGTGTGGCAACAAAGTTTTCAAGGAAGACCTACCGTTGATCAAGACAAGAAAAGACAAAGTTGGTTCGTAACCGATTACCTTACGAAGATTGCAATGTTATCAACAGTGTACAAGTGTAACACCCTGTGTTACGACCCCTAAAACCAATTAATCATTTAAACAATTATCCAAAGAAAGAATTAAATTACAATAATTAAATTGGAAAAGGCCCACCATAGTCCGTGGGCCCTCTTCTCTAAACCCAACCCCTAGTCCTAAAAGGAATAGAGTTAGCAAGCCTATAGTATTTGGTCCCTAATTAGGACTCTTAGATATATAAATAGGGGACATAGGAGGCACCTAGAACCCCCACCACAATAATCTCTCACCACACAAGAAGTTCCAAGAATTCCCTTAGGAGAAATCAAGAAAGAAGAAAGCTTAAAGAAAGACCCTTCATAGCCAAGGAATTAATTAAGGCTAAGAGGTAACCCATGTCTCAACAAAACCAATTTTCATAGCTATGATTCCCCTCTTAGGATTTCCCCATATTCTTGTGTATTGATAATTCGTTATATTGTTCTTGACGATTGGTGTTATGATTCCATGGGCGATCTTGATAATCTTGTTGATGAAAAGGGATTCTTGATGATTGTGTGATTCTTGATGGAACCTAGTTTCTTGATGACTATGTGCCATTCTTGATTGTTCTTGATGTTTAAAGAGAAATCGTGTTCTTGTTAAATTGGATGTGTCTAGAGCCCTAGGCTGTATCGTGAAATTCGTATGGTGTTATTCTTGATGTATTGGGTGGGAATTCGCATGTTCGGGTATTAATTATGTTTAGAAAATCATGATACGATATGTGTCGTATGTTTCCTGCTTTTGAAAGTGTCTAAGCATGGTTCCGGGTTCCACTAAGGTTCCCGGGGCGTTTTTGTGATGAAAGAGTCAGTGGGGGGTAGGTGGGGGTAGGGGACCCGCCACCTACCCGCGGCCAACGTTGAATTCGCCAGAAGCGGGCAGCCGGCGAGCAGGCGACTGCCCGCCGGGCAACCGCTGCCCGGAACCACGACGCCGGCGGGCAGCCGGCGGGTGACCCCTCACCCACCGGCTACCCGCTGGATTTTACCCCACTTTGGGATTCCGGCTTCCCCGTTTGATGTTCCCCCGACCCCCGTGGTGTCCCAACGGACTCCGTCTATCGTGCCTAAGTCTAGTTTGATGTTCGGGTACCATTCGTAGGTGGAATAAGTCTTATATATTGCATGCTAATTGAATGGGTATCCCGTTGGCCTAGGTGTAAGTATGAACCCTTAGGAATATTCTTAGTATGTGGATGATCACGCATAGGTTTCGTTATACGATTTCTCCCCCTTCCCAATGTGTCAATGTGGGTTGCATGTACTTGTTATGTGTTATGTGTGCATGATACCCCAATTCGGTTGCGATCGAATTGGTTATTCCTGAGCTGCGGTTCAGAAGCTTGCTACGGTCAGATTTACACTCTCTTGGGCTGCGGTCCACCGTTTGGTTGCGATCAAACGTTTTACATGAGCTGCGGTTCATATGCCTGGATGCGGTCAGATGACTACTCTTGGGCTACGGTCCACTGTTTGGTTGCGATCAAACATTATGATGAGCTGCGGTTCATCGGTCGGTTGCGATCGACCCCTCCGTGTTGCGATACGGGGCAGGGTGCTGCGGGGCCGTGTCAGAGCTATATGCGCTGACCCTCATGTATGGGCATGCGATTGGTCCTGTGGCGCCAACAAAGTGTGCTATGTGATGAGATATGGATGATTGGATTGTTATGAGAGCGTGACCAAAAGATACATGATAGTAACTGTATATGCTTGTTTATGACTATTGGTTGTGCTTATCTCTATCTG